TCTCTCTCTCTCTCTCTCTCTCTCTCTCTCTCTCTCTCTCTCTCTCTCTCTCTCTCTCTCTCTCCACCTTCGCCTGACGTCTTCCGTTGCCCGTACCCCACCCAACCTCTCTGCCCTCCCTCCTCCCATCTGCCCTCCCTCTGCCCTACTTCACCCTGCCGTCTTTCCCCTTCCTCCCCGCCTCCTTCCACTTCTTCCTCTTCCTCTTCACGCTTTTTCCAATGCTCATCTCCCCCTTACCTCTTCCCTTCCTCCATACATCACTCAACCTGTAAACTACGTTCTGCTTTCTGTCCCCTCTCCTCCCTCCTACTCCGTGCCGCCTACCTTTTCTCCTAGCCTCCTCTGGACCTTTTCTTAAAACCTCCCTCTGCCCTCCCTTCGCCTGGCAACCTCCGCCTGGCCTCCTTCCCACTATCTCATCCGTCCTCGTTCCTCCGCCCGATTTGCACCGACCCTCGTCCTTCCCCCAATCCCCTTTCTCCCCTCCCTTCCTTTGCCCGATCTCCACCTGAACTCCTGCTTCCACCCTACTCTCTGCCGCCTTTCCCCCTACTGGCCTCCTCCGCACCTTCTCTTCAACCTCCCTCTGGGCCTCTGGCCTCCGTTCGCCTGGTCGCCTCATTCCCCTTCGTCCACCCCCTTTGTTTGGCCGATCTATGTCTGACCTCCTTCGCCCGATCTCCTTCCTACCCTTCCTTCCTCGGCCCGATCACCGCCTGACCTCCTTCCCCCGATCTCCTTCCTCCACTTCCTCCCTCAGCCCGATCACCACCTAACCTCCTTCCATCCCTCCCTCCATCCTACTCCCTACCTCCCCCTTCCTCCTCGACCGGCCGCCCTTCTTTTGTAACGCTCGACCTAAGAAATGCTGCTTTATCTTTACCCGGTGGACATAAATGCTCCATTTGTTATCATGATCGCTCCATTTCCTGTAAAGATCTCAACACGGTTGCACACACGCTAGAAGGAGAGAGGGAAAGCAGGAGAGACAAAAACACATTTCACCTAACACACTTCCTCCTCTCGCTGTTTGTCTTATCTGTCTCCTCCACCACCGCGTCTTCTGCCTCCTCAAGATCTTCCTCCTCAACATTCTCCCTGGTCTTTTCTCTTATTAACTGCCCTGCGCCAGGTATTTTAAGGTATCGATATTTCTATCCGTATTTCTCTCTCTCTCTCTCTCTCTCTCTCTCTCGCCATCCATCCACACCCCTCGCACTGTGCGTCTGCCACACCCCTCGCAATGTGTGTCTGCCACACCCCTCGCTGTGTGCGTCTGTATGCGACCGCACGCGCGAGAGCACACAGTCACCCTTATTCACATTGGAAAAACAAATGTGGCGCTAAGCGTCAATGCAAATTGAGACGGAATGCACTCTCTATATCGTCCCCGGATAAGGGAGCATGAAGCGAGGGAGGACGGAAGGCCGAGGATGGTAACCCCACCAGAGGAAGGAGAGAGAAGGCTATGGAGGGAAGGAGGAAGGAGGGAGGGCTGATGGTGCAGGGGTGAGGGAGGGAGGAGAGAGGGCAGAGGATGGGCCAAGGGAGGTACGAGGGAGGACTGAGGATCGAAGCAGGAATGGAGGACGGGCAAAGGGAGGGAGGAGAGAGGGATCGAGGCAGGAATGGAGGACAGGCCGAGGGAGGGAGGACAGAGGGTCAAGGCAGGAATGCAATGACCCCCATCCCCCCATTATCTACCTCCTCCCCAAAAAAGAGAAGGAATGCAAGTTTTTTTTAATGCTTTTTCCAAAGAGGGTTGGGGTTGTGGACTCGAGGTGAAGTAGAAACACTCACTCTAGCAGGAATTCACGACGAAGCTCGTGTCAGAGGACTTACCAGGAACTCATGATCCCACGCGAACCACCGATCCAAGCAGCACCACTTCACAAAGTACGAAGGACCAAAGCACTAAGCACGGAGCGCGGAGCACCAAGTCGCAAGGGCGAAGCATGAAGCATAGAATCCGCAATGCTTGACGAAAGTACCAAGCACGAAGGAAGTACCACAATGCTTCACGGAAGTACCAAATTCTCAAGGCAATTCCAAAAGCAACAAGCACCAAACTAACGTAGAACACAAACTCACGAACCGATGGGCGGGGCGGCCATTCGCCACTTCTGGGACCAACAGGTGGGTGGGCGATTGGAGGGGTGGGCCGCAAATAGAAAAACAGCGGACGAGCGGCCGGTTGGAGGGGTCGACCGCAAATAGAAAAATGAGTGGACGGGTGGGCAATTGGAAGGGTGGGCCGCTTCAGGCCTCGACCACGAAGTAAAAACGGGGTTGGTCTGCAATTCAGCGCTTCCGCGAGCAACCGAAAAGAGGCGCCAGGTCCAAACATACACAGACAAAGAGGGGATAAAACAAAGAAGAGGAAGGGGGAGATGGTGAAGTCGTCAACACCAAGTCTCGTTACGAGTCCTAAATAATCCCTCCTCAATATATTTGAAGTCCAATGTCGAGTCTGGATCCAAATATCACTAAGCTCTCTCTCTCTCTCTCTCTCTCTCTCTCGTAGTCTGCTGATGCAGTGAAGTCAGATAGCAAGAGGGTGAGAAGGAGATGAACTGAGAAGAGGAAGAAGAAGAACTCTCTCTCTCATGTGTCAGGTACTAACATGTGAAGATGGCGCTGTGCTGCAGGTACCTCGAAGACGAAGCTGGAGCAACGGCGCTGCAGGTAAGTATCCCTAGCCTCTGCCCAATCTCTCTCTCTCTAGTACTACTCTAGCTATGGCGACCAGCGCTGAAGACTACAACTAACGCTACTAGCATTTAGCGCTGAAGTCTACTCCTAACGCTACCATTACTCCTGCAGCGCTCCTCCAGAGTGTTTTTGCCGAATCCTGAAGACTACAGACTGCCTCCTGCCTGCCCGTGAAGTGCATGGGAAGTCCCTATGAACTACCTCGGCCTGCCTCCTCACTGCCTCCGACTGCCTGCAGTTGCAGGGCGGGCAGTCCAGGAGGCTGCTCTTGCCAATGCCAAACTGAGCCAGGGCCTGGTGCTGCAGCTGTCGTGGGAACAGGCCAAAAATAGCCTGTTCCTAAAACCCTGGTTTGGTGCCTGAGTTTTAGGGCAGGTCGGTCTGATGAAAGACCGAAAATGGCCCTTCGTTTCAGTCTAAAAAGGCTA